TTATATTTTATGGTATGTCAGCTACAGTGACAAAACAGCATGGTACTAGTGCAAAAATGCCAGTGAAATAGAGTAGAGGATGCAGAAAAAACTTGGCACTTGCAGCTCTCTGATCTTGGACAAAGGGGACAAAAACATATGTTGGAAGAAAGATAGCTTCTTTAGCAAATGGTGCTGGGAAAACTGGTTATACATATGCAGAGGGTTGAAACTGTACCCATATCTCTCACCATGTACTAAACTAAAATCAAAGTGGATCAAAGATCTAGGTATTAATCTGCTGGAAGATAAACAGATCAAAATCTTGAAGACAAAGGCAAAGACTTTCTGAGCAGAATCCTATTTGCACAAGGAATAATGTCAGAGATAATAAGTGGGATCAAATTAAAAGACTTCTTCATAATAAAGGAAATAACAGTGAAGAGACAGAATGAAAAAAAATGTGCTAGCTCCTCATTGGACCGAATACTAATATATAGAATATATAAATTGAAAATAATTTACCCACCCCCCAAAAAAAAGATCCTTTCAAGAAATGGACACCAGAAATGAATAGACATTTTTGGGAAGAAGTGCAAGTGGTCAATAAATGAATAACATGAAAAAACATTCAACACCTATAACCATTACAGAAATGCGAATTAAAACAACTTTGCGACTTCATGAGTTTCATGGTTATCATCAAGAAATCAGATTAAAAAATGCTGGGGAGGCCTTGGGGAAAAAATGAAAACTTGTACATTATTGGTGGGAATGTGGCAGTTCCTCAAAAAAGTAAAAATAGAAATTTCTTTTGACCCAGGTATTACCCTTCTAGGCATTGTCCCCAAAGAGTAAAAAACATATTACAGTGATACATGCATACCTATGTTTATGGCAGACCAACTAGTAGCAAAACCTTGGAATCAGCCTATATTTATAAACAGATGAATGGATAAAGAAGATGCGGTATATGTACACCATGCAGAACTGCTCTGCCACAGGAAGGATAAATTTGATTCATTTTTGGAAAATAGATCCGCCTTGATACCATAATGTTAACTGATATAATTCTGGCACAATCTTAAATATCGCATAGCTTCTCTTATATGAGAAACCCAAAGTATACATGAAGAGCAAACAGAAGATCAATACCAGGAATCAGGGAGATCTTTTGCAAATGGGAAGAGCAGCACTAAGAGATGAAGGACAGGGAGTAGAAGAGGAATCAGCAACAACAAAAAATTTAAGATGTGTTATGTCCATATACCAACTTCCCTTGATGAATGTAACCATGCACCACAAACATGGAAATAAAAATTTATTCATGACTGAATAAGAAAAGTAAGTGCAACAGGTGTGTGCAAAAGCAAAAGGGAATATGTTGAGGTGGATTCATGGCATTTTTTTTTACCGTAATAGTTCTTATACTTAAACATTCACCATACCTTTATGGCTCATTGCTTTGTTGAACAAATAGATCGTAGTTGCAGTCCCATGACAAGGTAGTGGTGCCTCCACACAATCAGTCCTCTCACAAACCACCCCTCCCTGGCCCCAGCCAACATCTTTCTTCAAAGTAGGAAACTGGATTTGTCTGAGATTGAAACAAAAAACAAATATTTGTCACTCCTTTATAAAACCTAATTTTCTGTCACCTATGTAAACCTCAACAACATATATCCTTATTTTATTTTCACTGGTTGATACTGCAGTCCCTCCTCTCACACACTCTTTCCTGCAGAGGGTGGGTGGGTGGTTTTAGAAAGATGTCAGGTGCATCTGCTAGCATCTGTTCTCCTTGTCTTCCACATGAGTCAGTGGCATGGCCTGTGGGAGGGCTCACAGAGTTCCAGCAGGTCTGTGGTGTTGGTCCTGCCTCCTCCACTTCGGATCCAGGTCGTGACTTCGGGCCAGTGTAGCAAAACTTTATGACTTAATTTCTTCATGAGTAAAGTGATGTTTATGGTAGAAATAGCTCATAGAGTTGTTTGAGGTGTGAATGAGAAATGTAAAATGTATAGAATAGAGTCTATCAGTAAGTACACAGTACATGCCCATTTTTAAACCATAGTTACATTTTTTATTGAAAACAATGAACCTTGCTTCCTTTAATCATGTTGTATATTGATGAGTTGAGTAGAATTTAGTAATGCTGTATATGTTTTGAGACAGGGTCACAATATGTAGCCCAGGCTGGCCTTGAACTCATGGCAATCCTGCCTCAGCCTTCCAAGTGCTGGGATTAAAGGTGTGTACCATCACATCCAGCTGGGAGCTTGCTAATTTGCCCAGGCGGCAAGACTCTAACTTTCGGTCCAGAATTGTACATCACCTCACCTGATTATTTTTATAAAGATTAATTCAGTACAGTCTTCAGCCTTTCCATTTGTTCCTTTTAAACATCCCCACTTTTAGCTGGGTGTGGTTGGTGGCATGCACCTGTAATCACAGCATTTGGGAGGTGGAGGCAGGAGGAGTACTGTGAGTTCAAGGCCAGCCAGAACTACAGAACAAGACCTCGTCTCAAAACAGACCAACGTATGTGTTCTCTTTTTCAATTTTTAGCCCCGAAATCTTCAAGTGAATACTTAGCTGATTGCACATAAAAGTATGTAGGAAACATCAAAAATACAGAATCTCTGTGTTTCAGCACAAGCAAGGTTGGGCCAACACTGGAATTTGTGCCCTTGTGATTCCGTGAACCACAGGCCGGACAAAATTCTAGGCTAACGCAGATAGCCTTTGATATTTCTAGCTGCTTCGTAGGTCTTCATATTAAAGTGAAAATTACCTGCAGAGGTGTTTTGTATATGTAGTTCTGTAGAAAACTTGCTCTTTAAAAATTAAAACTCCATATTGAAATTATCTCTCCAGGTAACTTCCATTTTAACATAAAGACATAAAAGTTCTGAATACACTCTGGGAGACTTGAGACAGGAGAATTGCAAGTTCAAGCCCCGCCTAGGAAACTTAGGGAGACCCTAAAGCCTTTTTGTGTATTTAAAAAGCCTTCTAAATAGTAACTTGAGATGTTTGTGTTGTCTTACTTATAAGTCTCCCTTCTTGGGATTATTGCTTTATTGTTATTTTAATAATGTTCCATTTTCCCTAGTCATTTATTTCTTTTTTTCCTTCTATCATGCCATTCATACACCTTTGATATCTATGCTGATTTCCTGATATTTCAATTTCAGATAAACAACAAAGAATACTTCAGTGTAACTATGCCCCATGTCATTAAAACTTAACTAGGCATCCTGCAATTTTATTTGCTAAATGTGCCAGCCCTAATCCCTGTGTGTGCATATATTCAGATTTATATAACACAGTTCTAGGGCTAAATATTTACCAATATCCATAGTAATCCTTAATGTGTAATACCTTTCACTCCCAAGACTGTAGTTGTTGCCACCACTACTGTAAACTGGAATCAGGTGTTTCTGTCATCACTGCCATCCTGGGAGGCACAGGCTTAGCTTTGCCTGTGCTCTGGTCCAACTTGTGGGAAAAAATTTCTTGTAACCATGCAAATGATTTAAATTTTCAGAATTAATACTTGGAAAATAATCCAAGATTCATTAAAACCTATTCAGGGCTATGAATGAAAGACTAGGCATAGTAAATAATGTTCTGAAATGCCTGGGGTGGTGTTAATTTACCTTAGGAGTAGGTTCACATGGGCTCTTCTCTCTGCCCGAGTCTGGGTTCCCCCCTATGGAGGCCTGGCTTCTTCAGTGGGTGGTACCCTAATTTTTGATGCCTATGGACTTCTAGGTTCAGCATTGTGATAGGGGAATTTGATAGCTTCTAGACCCTCTCTCATAGTCATGTGACTTTGTAATCACAGAGTGGACACAGCTGTGTTGACTTTGGTGGCTAAATGAGCAGCAATGCTGTTATCACTTCAAGAGGCATCTAGAGGGTGCATAATCCTCAGAGTATCCTCAGGGCTCAGTATCAGTAATTTATTTGCCATTTGCTCAGCACAGCGTATACACATTTGTGTTCTTGTTGAAAAGCTGTGTTAGTATTATCTAATAGTGACCAGATCAGGGTAGGGATAGCTTAACCTGGCACATATGTTTTCATTTCCATCATTTATGAAGAGTGATAATTCCAAATTGGCCAAAGAAATATTGTTAAACTGTAGAGAATTTTTTCAAATAACTTTAAAAAATATTTCTAAATAATGATGCTTGCAATTTGGTTCTTAAATAAAGAAGCATTAATTTCTTGCAGGTTCTGTTTTTGGAATTGAAGTTGCCACCAGATGGAGAGGTGAAAATCCAAGGCAGCAAGAAAACCTTAGGTTCTACCAGAAGAGGGAACAACCAGATACACAAGCAGAGGCTGGGGAGACGATTCACCACTAGTAAGGTGCATCTTGGGGTGGTCACAGGGAAAAATCTTAAGTACGTTTAGCATTTTAATGTCTCAAAAGAAGATGAATCAAGATCTGATATAGCCCACCATGTCAACTTCTTCATGTACAAGCAGACAACTTGGCATGGAAAATCAGGACCATAATCTGAATCATTAGTTGTGTTTTTCTTATCAGTAGAACAGTATAAAGCCTTAGGTACTCACTTACAAATATTATTTATCATTGCCAACCACTACTTTTGATCTTGCAGTATAATACAATTTGTATAGTTACATGGATGTGGAGAACGGTATAGAGAAAATAATATTTTTTTCAGTGCCAGGGGAAAATAATGTTTTCCATGAATTTAGTAAGAATATAATCTATTTTCAAAGAAAATTTGCTATTGACAATCCATGAAAACAGTGTGCATTAGTCAAAGAGAAGACAGAAAAAGCTTAATTTCTCATTTTTATTGAAGTTTCAGTAGAAAAATAAGGAAAGAAAGTACAGCCACATGAACTGTGAAGAGCTGCCATTCTGTAGAATTTTGATCCTTAGACCATGAAATGTAACTTGCCTTCCCTTGGAGAGTGTCCCCAGCCCTGTTCCCCAGCTCAGCTTTTCCTTGGTCTCTCTGACTCTTTTACCCTAACAGTTCCTGTTCCTTAATGGTTCCTTAAAACTCCATAGCATAGAAATGTGAAGTGTCTCCTAATTTCTTTAATATGGAACCATGTAAGTATCAGGGCAAGAAAGAAGATGGCTGAGATACTTGTAATCATGAAAAGGAGTGGAGGAGGAAATGTATAAAGAAAAGAGATGATGTTACTTCATGAAACTGATGTGTCACTGATTTTAAAAAGCTGGCTCTGAATTGGTAGTACTCAGCATTGCCACATTTGCATTTCATAAATTGTACCAATCATATTTTATGTTGATTTCTAAAAAGCCTAAACAGTGATTTTGATTTGTGGGTATAGCAATTATGAAATTTAATTTTGAGACCGTATTTTTCTACCTAAAAGATTCTAGTTTGTCACAGAATTTGGATTGTCCAATCTTACCTTATTATATTTCTTTGGCAGGATGTTTTAAATAAATTAAAGGCACTTCATCCTTTACCAGGCTTGATACTGGAATGGAGAAGAATCACGAATGCTATTACCAAAGTGATCTTTCCTCTGCAACGGGAAAAGCGTCTGCATCCTTTTCTTAGAATGGAAAGAATCTATCCTGTGTCACAGTCACATACAGCTACAGGTGATGAGAAGTGTTATATATGAATAATGTCCAGTTTTGAAAGGAAAGATTTTCATATATAACATTTGCTGATGATGGCCAAGGAGTTCAAGGTTTTGGTTGGGTTCTGTGAAGTTCCACAACATTTATAAAACTCATAATTACAGCCAAAGCATAGTTAGAAACCATTTAGATATGGAGATGAATTTTAGTAAGATACAGTTTCTGTTTTCCAGGGCTTGTAAGGAGTAACTGGATGCCTGATGCAGCATTTTGCATGAGAATATAAACAAGAATGCACTGTTTGAGCCCATGATCTTATCCAACTTCAGTTTCAGCCCTTTCCTGACCCTCGTAGATTCTCTTCCAGTTGCACCTCAGTAGGACTCGGTGGCCTCTGTATAAGTGTCTCACTTTACCTAAGCAGGAAACAAAGCTCTTGGGTGTCTCATGGCCCTTTTGGGATAGGTATGAATGTAATCTGGTGAAGAAAACAGTATTCTTGCTCTAGGAGGTGTGCACCACTCTAAATATGGCACACAGTGGAAGAAAGGACAGTTTTAACTTACTGATAGGTGAGGCAGTGTGGATTGGTGATATAGAGTATAGACTTTGAAACCAGGCATCAAGATTGAATCCTGGTAGTGTGAAACTTTAGACAAAATGTAAAATTTCAGTGCTTAAGTTTCTTCCTTATAAAAGCAAATAATAGTCCTGCTTCACCTGGTCATTCTGAGGGTTGGATAGGTCAATATGTGCTAAGTGAATAGCTCCTGGAAAGTGCTTATATCAGTTGGTGTGTTATTTTTTTCACATTGCCACATTATTTTTTTTTTTAATTTTTTTTTTATTGAGTTTATTGGTACATTTAGGGATACAGTACAGTTACATTCATTGTTGGGATCATGTACCTTTACATGGCAAGTCTTGATTCTCATTTTTTCCCCTTACCTCTGCCCTCCCTTCACCCCCTCCTCCCCTCCCCATCTACAAACACTTTATTTTCATCTTTTCATTCTCTCACATTTTTTTCTTTTCCCTTTTTGTTCTTCCCCTACGTATCACACCTTCCCTACACCTTTAGCTCCTTTCCTCCCATTTCTAAATGTCAGTAATCTTATTAGAATCTTATGCATTGTTGCAGAATATTCACACCAGGGAAACTATTTGGTATTTACACATGTGGGACTTATTTATTTCACTTAGGAGTATATCTTCAATATGTATCCATTTTCCTATGAATGAATCTATTCTCTCACTCTTTATTTGCCACATTATTTTTATTCGATGCACTTATTTTAAAATTTTTTATTGGTACATTTTAGATATACATAATGATAACATTCATTATAGGGAATTTGTTCCTGTACCTAATATCTCTTGTTTTTGTTTTTTTGGCACCTGGGATTGAACTCAGGACCTTGCACTTGCGAGGCAGGTGGCAGAACCACTGAACTGAATCCCTGGTCCACGTAATATTTCCTGATTTTTCTTTTTATTCCTATTCCCCCCTCCCTTCAACTTCTCTTCCTTTCCTTATATACAAAAGCTTTGTTTCCATTTTTTGCTTCTATTTTCTTTTTTTTTCTTGTCCTTCCTTTCCCCCTGCCCCTCCTTTGTTCCCCTTATCATGTGAACATTTTGTTCTGATTTATCAATATCTGTTATACATTTTAGGCCTTATTTCCATTTTTGGATTCTCATACCAAGGAAACAATGCAGTATTTAAATATGTGTGCCCAATTTATTTCACCTAAGAGTGTGGTCTCAAGGTGTTTCCATTTAGCTATAAATATCTCAAGGTCATCCTTCTTTATGGACGAATAGTACCCTACTGTATAAAGAAAAACATGTCTTCTTTATCCATTCATTGATGGGTGGGCATCTGGGCTGTTTCCAAGATTTAGCCATTACAAGTTGTGCTGCTATAAACATGAGTGTGCATATAGCACTGTAACAGGATGGTTCTTTTGGGAAGATACCAAGAGGGGTAATAGCTAGGTCAAATAGAACCTCTACTTTTAGTTTTTTTGAGGAATCTCCACACCAGTGGCTGCACCATTCTACACTCCTACTAACAGTGGAGAAGCACTTGCCAGCATTTATTATTGGTTGTTATTTGTTGTTATCTGGAGTGAGATGTAATCTCAGCATTGTTTTAATATTTCTCTTGAATGAGTGATATTGAGCATTTTGTCATATATTTATTTGTTGTTTCTAATTCTTCATCTGAGAAGTGTCTGTTCATTTCAGGCAACCAATTTTGGATTGTGCCTTTATATTTGGGAGTCTGGTTTTCTTGAGTTCTTTATATAATCTACATATTAGTCTTTTGTTTGAGGAACAGTTGGGGAAAATTTTCCCCAAACTGGGGTTGTCTCTTTACTCTGCTGGTTGTTTCTCTTGCTGTGCAAAAGATTTTTTCATAAAATAAGATCCCAGTTGTTGATTCTTTGTAATGATAGTTCCTGTGCAGTTGGGGATTTGTTCATAAAGTCTTTGCCTACAGTATCTTCAAGAGTTCTACCTATTCTGTCTTCCAGCAGATTGCTTCTGTTTTAAATTTAGATCTTTGATCCATTTTGATTTTAGCTTAGTGCATGGTGAAAGAGACAGTTCTAGTTTTTATTTTCATCATGTAGAAATCCAGATTTTCCAGCACTGTTTATTAAAGAGGCTGTCTTTCTTTCAGTGAAGGCATTTGGCTTCTTTGTGGAAGTGTTATGGAAGGAATCAGTAAGCGACACACAGAGAGGCAGCAGAATGGAAGTAAAATAACAAATTTACTCATTGATGAGGGTCAGTCACACAAAAGCCGTGTCTGGATGGTTGGGTTACAATTCCTCCTCTTATAGGGTTTTACAGCCTTGACTTCATTTGTGTAGTTACATATCATTCTCATAGTTCAAATCACGGTCACAGGATAGTTAACTTTCAACCCAGACGTAACAGTTCTTTGCAGTTGAGTTTACCTTTAAGATGTGCCTAGTTATCTATGCTAGTCCATAGGAGGGGGGGGTGTTCAGGGTCGGGGAGCAAATGTTAGCAATGGGTTCATCTAGACAGTTTTACGATCACGTGGCTCCATTCTCTTCAGAGCTCAAGACCAAATGCCTCATTCAGCAGTTAGTGCCTTCAGTGCCTATTAGTTTTGAGCTAAACAAAACAAACTGCTGTTAGAGACAGCAGAAACCATTTTACATTGTAACACTTTATAGGTTTTTGCTATTTATAAAGTTTTCCCTATCATTCCTCCCTTTGTTTGGGGGAGGGTAACTCCTTGCCACTCATTATATTTATACCAATTTTCATTATTCTGCATAACTAACTAACATCTGGTAGTGTTGAGCAGTAGCTATTCTCTGATGTATGAGTTTTGATATCCTTATAGGGACCAAATATGATAACAAGCAGTGTAACAATAATTGGTCTGGTGAGGGACCTGACCCAAGCTGTCCATCTTGACAAGTTAAGGCCAAAATTGAATGTTGGGTCCTTAATACCAAACTCTTTTCCTATCAGTCTAATACAATTTTTTGATTTATCGAATGATTTTTTTAACTATTCCAGATTTGCTTGTATGTAACATTTCTCTCCCAGAAACAGGCAAGTTCCTCTTCTTTGCACATTGAGCAAATTAAGGGCTCTTTTATTTTGTAACACTGTATTAGCTAATGAATCTGAGTTTCTAAAGTTTGAATAGTATCCTGCATTTCTTTTAAGTCTTTTCTAATCTCCTGTCCCAAAGCTAAACTGTTGTTATTCTAACCTGAGAGTTATAGCACTTAATGGTGAGGCTCCCTGTTATAGTTAATTCTGTTAATATGGGGAGGGCAGTTGGGTTCCTTTTCTCTTACCAAACCATTCATTGCAGCAATTGTAAAAGCATCCTTTTCATAGATGGAGTATAAACAGACAAATTGGAGATTAGGATCCCCAGAGTATATAAACCAGTGGAACACTTTGAAATCACCTTGTAAACACCATTTGCACCGAGAAAGTTCCATTTGGGGCAGAGTAAGTTACTAGTGGTAGAAGACAAATCAACAATATCAGTGCAGACAGCTGAGACATTGTATGACTTTCAGATACCAAGAAAGCAAGTCCCATTCTTAATTACATCTAATGGATAGCTGAGTAAGGGGTATATAGTAAGCTTTACTGGCTCTAAGGGCAGGCCATTCATAATGCCAGTTGCTTGATAAGTCATCACAGTGAATGGTGCGCAAATCCAGAACTCAGAGACCTAATTTCTGATCTGTCTATAGCACCAGTGAATGAGTACCATCAATCAAGTTCATCATATATTTCTGTATAATTTTGGATGCACTTTTAAGGTATTTTGTATCTCCTGCAGTTCAGGAGTTTTTTCTATTTCTGGGGGGTGTCTTTTCAAACCTTTTTAATCTGCAGAATCTGTCTTTTTAACTTCTGAGGCCCATGCCTAGCAGTTGACCGATACCCAATATAAACATAAAAAATTATTTCCTGCAGCTAACTTGCTTCCCAAGGCCAAGTTATATACAATTTTAAAGGCTATATACATTTTACATTGTCCTTGTTTACAGTCATAATAATTGCCAATACTTTTGGGTTACAACATATTTGAGCCTTATCTGACCCAATACATCTTTTTGTGTATATTTCCTACAGTCAGGTATGGTACCAGGGTTTTCATAAAGTTCTTTTAGGCATCAAAAATAAGCTTGAGGAGATGTCCCTCTGGTTCCTATTTAACAGTTTTAAAGGTCATATATTTTTATCAAACTTAGCATCTTTAGGCTTATAAACTCTTAATTAAAAAACAGAAAAGCTCATAACAATTTGACACAATGAGTCCATAATATCTTGATTGCAGTCCTCATTCTTCAACTGTGTGTGGACTTACCAGCTCCCAGTGTGGTGAGAGCAGGACCTTGAGTGCGCTGTCTCCTGGAGCCGCAGTCCATGGAGTTCTCCTTTGCTTGACTCTATAGTGGTAAATCTGTGGTTGGACTTCAGTCACCTTGACAGCTGTGGGA